GAGGGCGGCGGGCGCGCGCGCGCTCGGGGGGAGGCGCCCTTTCCTTCTCTTTGCGGCGCGGGACGTGCGTCGGGGGCGCGCGGCGGAGCGACCAGAGCGCGCACCTCCCCGGGATGTCGGGGCTTGGGGGGCGGCGCCCCGGAAGATGGGCTGGTAAGAAAGACCCCCGAAGAGCAGCGGGCCGGCACCTCCCTGGCACCTCCCAACAGTGCAGGGGGGGGCCCTTGGCCTTGGGGATCCCCGGGCCCAGCCTCGGCGCCTGGGCCCCTCGCGGGAGGACCTGTCGGCCCCCTGGACGGCCGCGCTTCCCGGAGGCCACGAGGACCGCCCGGTCCAGCAAGATGGAGATCGGCGGCGGAGGCTCGGCCGGCAGCACGTGCCGGGAGGTCCTGGGGGGTAGGGGGTTAGGAGGGGGGGAAGGAGCTCTCCGCCTTTCATCTCACTGGCCGCGGCCCAAATTCAAACTCCCGTGCGACTTTGTGTCATTTGCAAAAAGTACGCTTAAGAAAATGACTCGAATGGAATGTGTATACTTAACCACAATAAAAATGAATAAATAAAGGTTAAAAATGTGCAAAGCAGCATTCCAAGGAGCTTTTCTGCTGCTCGGGAATACCTTGGGTTTGTACCATCCTCCTCCGAGGGGAGCAGGGCCCGGGAACGGCAGTGGCTCAGCCCGGAGAAGTAGAGCTGGTTCTGGCACCGCCGCCAGGAACCCGAACCCCTGAGCAGCTTTCCTTCTGCTAACCCTCTGCAGGCTCGCTCACGGTCACTTCCCTCAGAGTCTAGAAGGTGGAGGGAATCCCCTAGATTTATCTACCTTCAAGGGTGGACCATTCTTTCCGAGTCTTAACAGACCCCAAACCAGAATCTCCATCCAACTCCAGGCTGCACCATCCAGCTACATATCTGGAAATATTCAGCTACAGCTAATTCATTTAGAATGCAAAGTTCCCCAAAACTCTAAAGTCTTGTTATTTTAAGAGAATTGTCCTGGGTTAAGTAAAGGGAATCGATCCCTTCATTGGTCCCATAAATATTCATCAAATACCTACCCTCTGTTGGGTATTCTGCGTGCTGGAGATTCATTCATGAGCCAAACGAAAACTTGGGTGGACAATAAAACCAATAGCTAAGTGTATGAATAATGACATAAATTACCAAGTAGAGTTATAAGGAGGGAAGCAAATGGCTGGGAAGAGGAGATCTTGTTAAATTGGAGAATCTTAATAAAAATAAAAGAATCTCTCATCCTGAAACTTGGCACATTTGTGGGAAGCAAGAACCCCCACCCCCCCTTTATTTTTTTATTTTCTTGGCAACCTGCAGCTCATAAAGGGACTGTTTAGCACCAAAAAACCAGCTTCATATCCCACTGGTTTTCGTTATTTTTGTGCATACAAGGAGATCTCAGCAACCTAAGTATCATCCACATTCGTCCAGAAAAAGAATCCTAGATATCGGTCATGCTGCCTCTAGTTCTCAACAATGAAAATCGTACCTCTTTATTGCCTGAACCCTGAAATAGTCGCACACGATAGTAAATCATATCCACGATGAGCGTTGACAGCCCTGGCTTGTGAACAAAACAATTCCGATAGAAATAGAAGCAAGGAGAGGGGAATTGGGATAAGGTGGCCCCATTCAATTTTTTTTTCATTCTATTTTTTTTTTACTGCTTGTCTCACAGGTGACCTGCCCAAGGAGAGGGAAGAAGGGACAGCAGCTGGCATTCTGTCCCGAAACTCACTTCCAGCCAATTGAGAATTCCCTGCTGCCAAATAGCAGGTATGTTTATGTTGAGGGTTTTGTTCTCTCTCTCTCTCTCTCTCTCTCTCTCTCTCTCTCTCTCTCTCTCTCTCTCTCAATCATAGAAGCAGGAAACAAACAACAAAAAAAACCCTAAGCTTTGGCCTCATTCCTTACATTCTGTGCCATTCACAAAAGGCTCTCCCAAGCTCCACCTGCTTCGTCTGTCTCAAGCCTCCTCTATAATTCTGTAATCAACCCCAAGAAAGAGAAGCCAAATTACCACCAGCTGGGCGGGGAGCCCTCTTCTCTTTGGACCTCACCTCGCCCTCCAGGCACATATGTTTGGCTTGAGTTCAGGTGTTTGAGTTCCCAACTTTCCCCCCATGTCCCACAGGTGTGCCTCTCCCCTTTCAGAAGGTCAACTCCCACCTTCCTTAGCCAGTGAAGGAGAGGATGGGGGGCCTTCACTCCTGCCGTTCATTCCCCCCACCTCCAACCCACTGACTTCTTTACTAATACTCTTGCGTGTCCGTGTTTTGCCAGGCACTGTTCTAGACTCTCGAGAGAACACAGCTGTTGTTCCACTTATGTATGCATTCATTGCTTGCTTCTGGTCTGTGCCCTGTCTTCCTGGAACACGGTCTTACTGTGTACCTATTGGCTGCGGCTGCTTTCACACCATAGCAGCAGAGTGGAGTGGCTGGAGTAGAGAGGACTGTATGGCCTGCAAAACCTAAAAGACTTAGTGTCTGGCCCTTTAAAGAGGAAGTTTGCTGGCCCCTGCTCTACCCAGCAGCAAGCATGATCTTAGCAGAAACATAGTCAAGCCTGTGCTTAGGACTCCATTCCAAGTGGATGGGCATATGGATGGGGCAGGATTGAAGGCTGAAGCATTTCGGGGCCAGACGATGAGTAGTGCATGGTGGTTTATTATACTTTCCTGTCTTCTTGTGCTTACTCTAAATTCTAGGTAGTAAAATGTTTTTTAGAAAATAAAAAAGAAATGCTTTCCATGTCTTTCTATTTCCGTTAGGACACACACCATGCTGTTAGCGTGGCCTCCAAGCCCCCTCTTGGTCTAGCTCACACTCGCTCTCCAAGAGAGTTAGGGTAGGAAGGAGGAGCAGTAGATATGTGTACCTCCCCATATTCATGACAAAAGACCCAACATTGGAGAAACCCAGTGTTTGAAGACATCTATCTGGGCTCTTGATGGCACTTTGATTTGGTTGAAGCCATTCCCTGCTTTATTGAAACCAGGAGCTAATGAGTTCTTATCTTCCTGTCAGTCCTCTCCCCATTACCTCACCTCCCTCTTACTCATCCTTTCGGCTCCATCCCTTCCCCGCCTTGCACGCCCCCCCCCCCCCCCCCCGTGGGAAAAAGCCCTTGGTGAAGTCACCAGTGACCTTTCTTTCACTGATGCAGTCACCATGTTCGTTCAACCCTTGTCTTCTTTGACCTCCTGTAGCGCTTCGCTGCTGCTCATTTCCTCCTTCCCAAGATACTCTTTTCCCTTGACATTTGGGATGACGCTCTCATGGTTCTACCTCTGTGTCTGTGGAAGGACACTCTTCCTCGCCAGCCTGTACGTGTTCAAAGTCCTCAAGGCTCAATCCCCTGTCTTCCTAGACAGCCTTATCCAGTCTTAAATGTCATCTACACAGGGGTCAAGTTTTTACGTTTCCAACCCAGACGGCCTCCCTGGGCTCTGGAACTGCACCATCCCGTGCAAAGTCTCCAGCCACGTATAACTACTGAGCGTTTGAAACGTGCCTTGTGCGACTGAGAAACTAAGCATTTCATTTTAATCCATTGACATGTAACTGGCCGCACGTGGGTAGAGGCTAAAAGATTAGACAATGTAGATAGAGACTGTTTCCACCATCACAGAAAGTCCTGTTGAACAGCTAGACATCCATGTCCTGTCATATCCAACTGCCTGCTTGACAGGCCTCTTGGCTGTCTCAAAGTATTGCAGACTCAACTTCTCTAAAACCAAATACATAGCCCTTCTCCCAGTCCTGGCCCTCTTCCAGCATTTCCTGTCTCAGTGACTGGCACAGGGTTCATTCATTTTCTCAAGCCAGAAATCTAGGAGTCGTGCTTGACTTTGTTTCTCCTTCGTCTCCAACATCTAGTCAAGCTCTGTCCTTTCTGTCTTAAATATTTTTTCAAACTCCTTGCCTTCTATCACCACAACTACCTTGTTCAAGCTACCACTGTTTCTCACATATCTGATCTAGATACCCTTGCTTAAAGTTCCTCCTTAACACTGCCTCCAAGCCCTTAACTATCCTCCAGTCTTCACAGCTACCACATTCCCCTCCTGAGACAGCCATACCATCGTTTTCCTGTCCCTTTTGCTTAAAAAAAAAAATTATATATATATATATATATATATATATATATATATATATATTATTGATTTCAGAGAGGAAGGGAGAGGGAGAAAGACAGAGAAACATCAATGATGAGAGAGAAAATCATTGATTGGCTGCCGATATTTCAGTAGCCGATTGCCACGTCATTAGTCTTGAACTGACCTGTTTGGTGTGCGCAACAGGAAATATTTTGCTTTCGGAGAACAAGAAAAATAGGTTTATTTGTGTTATGCTTATTCGTTTGTGCAGTTATTCAGTGTCTGGTAAGTTACTGTTCAAGAAAAAAATATTAACTTTTATGAAGATGTTCTATTATTTTATGTTAACGATGACTCATTTATTTCTGCCCTTTGTATTCAGCGTGTCTCTATTGAAATAAACCTACGTTTCTATGAAAACTGAAGCTTTTGTTTTTTTGCGGCCCACAGACACTTACACCTTGTTTATCTGGCCCGTGTCAGCCTTTGAGTTTGACGTGCTTGGCCTAAAGGAACAGGGACCGTTCTGCATGTTGTCACCAGCCAGTGTGTTTTTACATTCACTCGAGCCAAACCCAAAGAGAAGGGAGCGTATGGAATCAAAAGTCAAAACAGAGGAAGGACTTGTGAGCAGAAAGGCTTCCCTAAGACAGGCCTGTGGGAGACAAATAAAGCTTTGCCTCCCACACGCTGTGTCAAACCCAGCTCCATCTCACCCTGGTCTTAACCTCAACCCATGATGCATTCTCCATTCTTATCTTAGACCGAAATCCCCAGTGGGCTGATGGAAGGCGGCTCTGATACTTCAGATGAGGCGGTCAGATAAGCTTCATGTCAAAAATGCTTGTAGCTTCTCACGGGCACCGGCAGAGAACTGCTTAGTCAACAGGGCCCCCACTCCTGGAGGTCCCCAGGGGCATCGGGCAGCAGGCAGGAGCTGTCTGGGCAGGAGGTTCTGCAGGAGACCCCGTGCAGGGTTGGCTGGTCAGGTGTGATTAAACTGGGTGCGCATGGGCGAGGGTGTAGTTCAGACAGGAGTTGCTATTGAGATAGTGATCATAAGGTAGGTGGCAAAGGGCCAGACAGTGGGCGGGGCAGGCTCAGGTTGCCAGGCAAGCTGTCATAGACAAGGAGGGCAGAAAACCAGCGAAACGTAACACCACGCGCGCACCTGAGAGAGACGTGTTGTTCTGACACCTCGCTGGGTCAAACGAGCCCATTTTAACTCCAGGCAGCCCGGCTTGAACTGGACAGTCCTGTCCCAGAGAAATTTCATCTCATCTTTAAGGGCTGGGCCTCCTGAGCTCTGTGTCCAGGTACGCAGTGTCATACTCCGGCTCAGCTGGGAGGAAGCTTCTAGCTCAACTCCCCTGCTGAGAGTTGGCATCAACGAAGGTGGTTTCTGGGGTGTGATTTGTAGGTTCTGCCTGCGTGGGTGGGGGTGCGAGGGGCACATCCACTCTGAGATCTGTAGAGGCAGCTCTTCTACAAACGAGACGAATCATGAGCCACTGAGGCTCTATTCCTCAGAGCTTTTATGAATAGATTAGAAAAGCTCCCTGAATAGTCATAATAGGAACTACCTTTGATTCTCAGTTCCATGCCAGACCCTGAAACAACATATCATATCTAATTAAATCCTCACAACAGCCCTAGCCGGTTTAGTTCAGTGGTTAGAGTGTTGGCCTGTGGACTGAAGGGTCTTGGGTTCGATTCCGGTCAAGGGCACGTACCTCAGTGGCAGGCTCGATCCCCGGCCCCGGTTGGGGCACGTGCAGGAGGCAACCATTCGATGTCTCTCTCACATTAATGTTTTTCTCTCTCTGTCTCTCCCCTTCCCTTCCATTCTCTCTAAAAACAAAAACTATCCTCTGGGGAGGATTAACCACAGCAACACAATCTTCACAACAACCTGAAGAAATGGATGCTATGAATAGTCTCGGTTTACTGATGAAGAAACGTGACTTGGAGAGAGGAGTAACGAAGAAGGTCACTGAGAGTGAAAAGTAGTGGCAGGTCTCCTTGCTGCGCTAGGTCTACCCTCTCCTCTTCTGCTCCCAACCATAAGTGAACGGAAACTTGGAGAAACACCTGAGCAGCGACCCTGGTGGCAGTAACAGCAGCAGCTACAACCCTACGGGTTCCCCAGCCGAAGTCTGTCCCCTTCGTTAGCGTGCTGAAGGCTGCACAGCCAACGTGTGCCGTTCGGACAGGCTGATGCGTTCAAACGCCCGGGTGGGTTTCAGCGTCTAGAATGGCATGAGGACTGGGAGAGGTGTGGTCAGCTCTGGTTCCTATTTTGGACACAGGTGTCCACTAACCAATAGGCTTCCCCCTCAAATTCCAGTCTACCCGAAGTCCTTGGTGACCATGAAGAGGGTTATGCACCATAACAGGGTGATGTGGGGCCCCGGTACGTCTTGTGGTCTGAGCAACCCTGGCAAGGACACCCATGCATCCAACATGGAGTTGAGAGTAACTGACAGAACCTGTTGAACCAGAAGGAGCCTGGCTGCCCCTGGGTGGCCCGGTTGAGGGAGAGGCTGCGCCTCCCAGCCACACTCAGAAGCAGCAGGCAAGTTGACACTGTCATCTCTGGGGACATATGCGTGGATTCGGAGAAGACAGCCTGTGAGAGCAGGATGCTGGTGAGATGTGCAGAATTGAACTGCACACGAAGCCAGGTGGTAAGCTGGACCAGCGAACCACTACTGGTTGAATCTAAGGATGGCAAGAGATGTCTGCAGATCTTGGTGGGCTGTGATAATGTCAGTGGCTTCTTCCAGAGAATGCTAGGAGCTTAAGTCAGGAATCTGAAGTCAGTCTGAGAATAAGTTCTTTAAAAAAAAAAATGACCCTAACCGGTTTGGCTCAGTGGATAGAGCTCGGCCTGCAGACTCAAGGGTCCCGGGTTCGATTCTGGTCAAGGGCATGTACCTTGGTTGCGGGCACATCCCCAGTGGGGAGTGTGCAGGAAGCAGCTGATCGATGTTTCTCTCTCATCGATGTTTCTGACTCTCTATCCCTCTCCCTTCCTCTCTGTAAAAAAAATCATTAAAGTATATAAAAAAATAAAAATAAATTTTTTTAAAAAGTATAGGGTAATAATAAATAGGAGGGATTCTCAATAAGGTAGCAGAGAACCTCCCCAAGTGGGTTCATTCTTGGGTACCAAGAACTACAGGGCAGCGATGGATTGATTTGTCCAGAGGTCAAAGAGCTTCTGAGTCTGTGTTACTAAGTGTTTCTCAGATATAAGTGGGAGAAACTAGCCCCTTTGACTAGAGGCAGCCTGAATCCACTACCCCTTCCCCTGAAATAAGCCTGGTTGGTGTCTAAGAACGTTAGTCCCAGAAAGGAAATAAAGCAGAGTGGCTAAAACATGGAGTCCGTGTCCCACAGAACCACACAGGAAGCCATCCCTGCCACTTTAATAAAAAAAAATATATATATATATATATATATATATATATATATTTTTTTTTTTTTTTATTGATCTCAGAGGGGAAGGGAGAGGGAGAAAGAGAGAAACATCCATGATGAGAGAGAATCATGGATCGGCTGCCTCCTGCACACCCCGCACTGGGGATGGAGTCCGAAACCTGGACATGTGCTCTTGGTTGGAATCGAACCCGGGACCCTTCGGTCTGCAGACTGATGCTCTATCCACTGAGCCAAACCGGCCAGGGCCATCCCTGCCACTTCACACCTGCGTGGCATTAGACAATTTACTTAAATCTCTGGGAGCCTCAGTTTCCCCATCTGTAAAATGAGGAAACCAATATGTAGCTCTCGGGTTACTGTGAGAATTAAGGGAGACAGTGTATGTAAAACATTTAGTTCACAACCTGGCCCATAGTAAGCATTTAACAAGAGTATCTACCATTATTTTTTGAAATACCTATATTTTTATTGACTTCAGAAAGGAAAGGAGAAGGAGAGAGAGATAGAAATACTAATGATGAGAGAGAATCATTGGTCGGCTGCCTCCACGCGCCCCTCACTGGGGATGGAACCTGCAACCCGGACCGGGAACCGAACCTTGACCTCCCGGTTCATAGGTTGATGCTCAACCCCTGAGCCACGCTGGCTGGTCGGGCTCCGTCATTTTCACACAGCATCTGAGTCGCCCCACGCCTCACTCAGGACCACCGGCTCTTGGTGTTGATTACACAGAGCAAACCCCCTGGGAAAGTCTGAACGTCTCCGGGGGCCAAGCCTCCCCTGACACAAAGGCCCAGGGCCCGGACAGTCTGTGTTAGGCCTTCATTCCCCAGGCAACGTGGCTCCCTTGTCTTACCTCGGTCTTTGATTGCCATTCCTTCACAGTGTCATGCTTTCTCCAAGCCCACGCAGATGCCTCCTTAGCTGCTTTTGTCTTTAAACGGGTACGAATGCCTGCCTTCCTTACTTCACAGGGTTGCCATGGGGGTCGGGCACTTTAACCTTTGTGAAGTGAGCACTCACGGAGAAACATGAGAGAGAGACTTTGGTCCAAAGGACCGACTCAGCTCTCGAACCAGCAGCTGGAAAGAGGTGGGAATGAAGGAAAGGATGCTTTTCAGGAAAGAGCAAGCGAGCGAACAGGACTCGGTGAGGGAGTGGCCACCGGGCACGCGCTGAACAAGGGAAAGAAGTCAGAGCCTGGTTCCTATTGATCAAAATGGCCCAAGGCTGAGAGAGGATGTCCTGTACCAGGACCCATGCCGTTGTCAAGGTCGTGGAACGAGATCACCCAGCCGCTCCCTCCCTGGACCTCGGAGCACAGGTACCCTGCACAACAGAGGGACTGAGGGGCTGTGGCGAAGGCTGGCAGGCCTCCGGGTGCAGGTGTTATCACTGCAAACGACTGCAACCCAGATGCTTCCAGTGGCAGTAGCAGAACCGCATGCTGAGGTCCTCTGGGAGCAACCACAGGTGGGCCCAGGCTCATCGCATGCGTCTCCTACAGGATGGACACCAAAGGAGGAAGGGGGTCTGACACAAGGCAGGTTGTCTGTTGCTGAGATCTGGGGACCACGTGGGAGGACCCGAGTGCAGCCCCAGCCAACAGCCGGCAAGAAGACAGCCTTCATTTCTGGACCTGCAGGAAACTGAATTCAGCCAACAACAAGACTCTCATAGCCAGAAGCAAAGATGAAACCTTAAGGCTTATCAAATGTCTTTCCTCCTAAAAAAAAAAAAAAGAAGAAGAAGAAGAACCAAAATGACCTCATTAGGTGCGGGGACTTACTGGGCACTTTTATATTGTTTTATTAAAATCTTACAATTCCATCAAGTGGTAATTAGATGTCCATTTTACAGAGGAAAAACCCAACCACTCAAAAAAGGGACAGTGATCTGGTGCCAGGTATGAAGGCCTGGCCTTCGAGCCCAGGGCTGCTGGATTCCAAACCCCACTCTTTCTACTCTGTCACCCGACCCGCCTGGGGGCTTGGGGGCTGAAATGTGACAGCCACACGGAGACCAGTCAGCACTCTCCCCTTTGGGTCAGCGCCCCTCAATCTCTCACCTCATCCTTGGATACATGGGGCTTCCATGTGGATTTCCCAGATCAGAGGCAAATGGCTTTGCTCCATCATTTCGGATCAATGCTAGTAAGTGAACTCTAGAACTAGTGTGCACAGTGGACACGACCTCCCAGCTCCACCCAGGTATTCTGTTTCCTGAGATGACTCATTGTATCTGGTCCTCATCCATGGGCCAACCTGCCAACGACGCTGAAGGCATCCATTCACTCTGGGCTGTATCTCTCCATCCCCTGGGGATTTCCACCTCAAAGACCTGCTCTGATGTCCAGGGCAGGCTCGCTCTCTGGTGCCTGGGCAGGGTTTGTGGTGGGACTGACTGGGGATCCCCACCATGTGGTTTTTCTGACGTTTTCCTCAGGGGAAACATTCACCCATACACACAGCCCTGCAACATGGGGCCATGCTGGGGGACATTCATCAGGAGCCCTGAGCAAGGTCAGAGCGATCGGAGCTAACGAGTCACAAGGGCCCGGCCGGCGTGGCTCAGTGGTTGAGCATAGACCTATGAACCAGGAGGTCACGGTTTGATTCCCTGCCCGGGTTGCAGGCTCAATCCTCAGTGGGGGGTGTGCAGGAGGCAGCCGATCAATGATTGATTCTCTCTCATCATTGATGTTTCTATCTCTCCCTTTCTTTCCTCTCAGAGCCAAACCAGCTACGGCAACGCTGGTATATTTTTAAAGACTCCGCCTTTGCCCTGACCAGTTTGGCTCAGTGGATAGAGCATCAGCCTGGGGACTGAAGGGTCCCGGGTTCGATTCCCATCAAGGGCATGTACCTTGGTTGTGGGCATATCCCCAGTGGGGGGGTGTGCAGGAGGCAGCTGATCGATGTTTCTCTCTCATCGATGTTTCTGGCTCTCTATCCCTCTCCCTTCCTCTCTGTAGAAAATCAATAAAATATATTTAAAAACAAAAGACTCTACCTTAGTCGGTTTGGCTCAGTGGATAGAGCGTCAGTCTGTGGACTGAAGGGTCCCAGGTTCGATTCCAGTCAAGGGCACATGCCCAGGTTGTAGGCTCGATCCCCAGTAGGGGACATGCAGGAGGCAGCTGATCAATGATTCTCTCTCATCATTGATGTTTCTATCTCTCTCTCTCTCCCTCTCCCTTCCTCTCTGAAATCAATATATATTTATATTTATTTTTTTTAATTTTTTTTAAAGACTCCCAAAGGAAGCAGTGGTCAAGAGAAATGTCCCTGGCGAAGCTGCCTGCTCCCTCTGGGTGAAAAGTCGGAGGGGAATACCAGGTGTGGTGGGGGTTGGTGTGGACTCTAGAATGTTTCATAAGCCCGGCTTACCCCCTCTCCTAGCTGCGGAGAGGAGAGCCGTCGAGGCTGCTGGGAAAAGGGTTCATGCTGATTTCCCAACACAAAGAGCAGATTAGTCAACTTGGAAAAAATTCAGAGAAGCTGAAACCCTTCCCGAACTCCCGGTTCCATAAATCAGCTGAGACACTAATCCGCCCTGCACGTTCGGGAAAGCTGGCCTTGCATCACCGACCAGGCCCAGAGAAACAGCCCTCGATTGTGACTTCAGTCAGTGATAACTGGAGCCAGCTACAAAGGACCCCGTCCGAGAGGAGATGTGTGGGAAGGGAAAATGGGTTCAGGGAGAGAAAGGAGGCCAGTGGCACTTACATGCTGCCTAAGATCCTGCTTCTGGGGTCCCTGGTCAAACAGTCCTGTCTCTGGAGAAATACCCCCCAATGAGGCAAAGGGTGGTTCACCAGGCTTTAGGGCAGTGGTTCTCAACCTTCTGGCCCTTTAAATACAGTTCCTCATGTGGTGACCCAACCATAAAATTATTTTCGTTGCTACTTCATAACTATCATGTTGCTACTGTGATGAATCGTCATGTAAATATCTGATATGCAGGATGGTCTTAGGCGACCCCTGTGAAAGGGTCGTTCGACCGCCAAAGGGGTCGCGACCCACAGGTTGAGAACCGCTGCTTTAGGGGGACATAGAGAAGGCCGCCCAGAGCCGTGATGCTTCTGTTGTCCAAATTCCACGCCTAGGAGACAGCCTTCTGCTAATAATGACACAGTCGCCCGAAAGCCCCTCTATGAGAAAGGATGGCAGCTCTCCCCCCGAGGGCACGGACGGGAGGCCCCAGCATTCTGGTCACTGGGGAGGGGGACCTGACTGCGGATTCTGCTGGAGTTCGGATGGACCTGTCTGTGTGGGAATATAGACCAAGAGCCGTAAAATCCTTCTTTGACCCTTTCCTTCTACTGTGGGGCCTAACGCTCTCATATCAATGCTATTTCTAATGATGGAAACATGAGAAACACACTGAAATATTATTTTCCTTTCTAAAATACAGGTGTAGACGACATTAAGTCACACATGTGACATAACGCTGAATAAAAGTGGAACACCACATGGTAGTCAAACGCTTGTTACAATTCTATAAAGTCTCTGTGGAGACATTATTAAGGGGAGGAAATACATTTCGAGGAGCAGGAACAGTTTCTAATGAAGTGTTCACCCCTCTGGCAGGCACTGCAGCCGAAGGAGGAGGACCCGTGGGCACAGGACTAGGTCAGGACTGGCAGAGGAAAGAATACCTAGGGTAGGATTACTGATGTCCCACCTTTGGCTCCCAGGCCAGTCCAACCGGCCCGCTAGCCGTGGGCCACACGCACCCAAGGGAATACATGCCACCTGGTGGCTGGATCTGAACATTACAGCTCCGTTGATTCCTGGAGGTGAGACTTACTAATAAGAAAAACTAGGTAGCTGGCCGTTTTGGGTAAGCTTTTCATGCACCCAAAAGCATCTTACCTGGCTCCTGGCTTATCACTGCCATTTCCTGAAAACCCTCTTACTACCTCTCCATGTTTGCCAGGGTCCTCAGTCACGCCTTTTCTCACCCTCAATCAATATAATGTCTTTAGTATCATCTTTCCTCTGAAAACGTAACTTATCTTGAATGATCAAGACTCAGTCCTCGAGGACTGGAAAGCCATCCCTTTACCCTGGGAACGCTCTCTAATTCTTCTCCAGAAACACAGCAATATATTTTATTATCAAGCAATCAAAAGATAAATTCGCAAAGGTAACTCACATTCTGTGTCACTGTCCTTTTTTTTTTTTGAATGGCTCATTCATTATAGAACACTATCCCCATCATTCAACCAACCCTTGATAATCCTTTGGGATATGTCTGGGCAACTAAAATAGCAGCATTTCCTTTCTCGTCTATTTGTGTTACTGTTATTATTCGTGTCCTTCAAGAGAGGCCTGTCTGCTTGAAAGGACAGCCCCCCTCCACGTGACAAGCCCTGATTTGACATGGAAAAGGTGAGGAAGGTTCTCTGGAAAGAAACTTCCGGATGCCGACACTGGCTCCCTTAGTTTTTGCTGATTGCCCTTCCTGCTGACTTCTGCTTCCTCGTTACTCAGCTGACCGATCCTCATCTATTTGTCATGAGATTAAATGGGTCATAGCAGCCCAGCCGGTGTGACTCAGCGGGTGAGCACTGACCTATGAACTAGGAGGTCACGGTTCCATTCCCGGTTATGACACATGCCCAGGTTGCAGGCTCCATCCCCAATAGGGGGTGTGCAGGAGGCAGCCAACCCATGATTCTCATCATTGATGTTTCTATCTCTCTCCCTTCCTCTCTAAAATCAATAAAAAAATATACATTTAAAAAAACAGCAGAAAAGAGTTAACATCACCAGTAATGAGACAAGCTGACAACACGAGCTTCTCAGTAGTATAACACACCAGGAAGGATGCTATCTTTGCCAAAAATGCACAACACAAATCTAATCATGAGAAAACACAAGACAAATCCAAACTGAGTGACATTGTACAAAACTACTTGTCTATGTGCTTACAAATGGCAAGGTCCTGAAAGATAAGAAAGACTGAGGAGTTGTTCCAGATGAAAGGAGACTGAAGGGTCATTTCAAGGGCATTCTTGAGACAAGCAGCAACATTTGAATATGGACCGTATATTAGATAATACTATTTATTATATCAAGGCTGAATTTCCTGAATTTTATAACTGAACTGTTGTTATACAAGAGACTGTCCTCGTTCTTAGGAGATAGCTGCTCATGTATTTTTGAAGTAAAAAGGCGCAAATAGTTTAGGAGAAAAATACTGTGAATATATATAAAGTCATAAAACAAATGTGACAAAATGTTAAAATCGAGGTCAAGGGGATGTGGGAGTTCTTCGTCCTATTCTTGTCACTCTTCTGTAAGTTTGAAATTACTTCTAAAAAAGAAAACACAAAAATAGAATAACATTGAAGAGTCAGGTCCTCCACTGCTATTTTGGGATGGATTTTTCATGCAAGGAAGGGGGAGAGTTTACACGGAGCCCTCTGGCACTTGCAGTTTTAAGCTGAGCGGTCACGGGGATTAGATTGTTTGTCTATGTGGGCCTGGCAAGGTTATTCTCTTATCAGAAAGAAGGCACTGATTTGCCTCACGGGTTCTCCTAACCAACCCTGCAGCACTCCACCCACTCAGTCCGTGGGACGGCTTGCTGTTCTCTGTTCACAAATAATAATAGTTGATGAGTAATAAGTGCTTGTGTCTGAAACATTGAACCAACCTTTATTGATTTCAGAGAGGAAGGGAGAGGGAGAGAGAGATAGAAACACCAATGATGAGAGAGAATCATGGATCAGCTGCCTCCTGCACGCCCCCCACTGGGGATCGAGC